ATCTCCGGGGAAACGCGTTTGTTGTTTCGGCAATTCCTATGCAACGGCCCACTGTTATTGCGTTTCCATGGAAGTATACTTTCCGGTTTCACCCGTTGTTACGCAACGGAACCTCTTATCCTTTAATCTCCGGGGAAACGCGTTTGTTGTTTCGGCAATTCCTATGCAACTGTTATTGCGTTTCGATGGAAGTATACTTTCCGGATTCACGCGTGGCCGGGTACAGCTAGTAGGTATATAAAAACACGCGCCCATACGTTCGAATGCAACGTTGTGTCAAAATTTCGAAGCAATCGGTGAAGAACTTTCGGAGATTTCCGAGGGCTAACAAACGAACATTTATATTTTTATTTATATAGATAGATAGTATAGTTTTAGAGTATGTTTCACTTCTCATTTGTGTGCTGGGTTTTATTTGTGTGCTGTGTTTTATTTGTGTGCTATGTTTTGTTTGAACGTGTTTATGCGTGTTATTTGTATGTTGTCTTATTGTAGCACCACTGCCGCCGGGTGAAACCCCATTTGTAGTTAAATAATAATAATAATAATATCTTTGAACTGTCAGTCAAGTCTTACTTTGAAAATAGAACCACACGGGCGATCTTCTCTCTTCGGTAGTCTCTGGAACTCAGAGAGGTCTGACGTCACGCAACAAAGTGTTATCCCAGGTTCCAAGTTGTTGGTGGGTGCTTCTCATGCATCCCTCCCGGTTTAAATCGTCAAAATTTGCATAAGTCGCTCTGCTGTAAAGGCCGAAAAATTATCTCGCCAAATTATTCAGTTCGACACAAATGAAAAGAAAAAGAGTCAAATTTCCGCGGCCCCTGCCCCAAACCATTTCACCTTCACTGTACTCTTATCAGAAGGACGAGAGGGCGAAGCCTCGTAACCTCCTCCCAAAATTGTACTCTTCCTCTGTAACTGTCCAGTTTATGGGAAGGCCAATTGATGTTTGTGTATGGTTAGGGTTTTGTGAAATTCCCCACTTTCGCCTCACAATTTGGAATTTTCCCCCTTGATACATGCAGCAAGTGGCTTGGGTCAAGCTTGAAGCCAGCTGCCCTTTCGTAAATCAGTTAATTTAATGCGTAACAAGGCCGAGTTCTTTAGAAATTCTAAACTTGACAGGGGAGGTCATAAATTTAGCAGCGTCGTTTCCTGCTACCCCAAAATCTCAGTTTGACAGCCACGCAGCAGGTGGCAAGGTTCACCCCTAAACTGTACACTAATGGATATTCGCTTTCCTAATTGGAGGAGAATGATAAGCAACCTCCCAGTCTGCCCGGTCCAGCCAATCATCGTCTGAAGTGGGAGGTCCTTTGCCCGAATTTTGAGTAACCAGGGCAAGTATTTACCATTCAGAGGGTGCTTGGCAAAGAGACTTTGAAAGTTACGTTCACCGGGGGTACACGTGTTCGGATCCCCGTAAACACGCCCTGTGGTAACTATTAAGTGTGCGTCCCCAGAACAGTAAGTAAGCCTACATCCACGAATCTGTGAAGGGTACCAATACGGTGCTGTTCTATTTAATTAGTGCTAATTTAATAAAGACTCCATACAGTTAATTGGTGTTGTGGTGATTTCCCTACGCCTAAAGCCCCACTAATCACCCAAGTCGTGGCCAATCAACACGCCCTGAAAGGAATCTAATTGCTCTATCGGAGCTAGCAGAACCGAAGAAGGACGGTTACACCTCCCCCACAGTATTGAAGTATCTCTCACTTTCCCATGATTTTTCCTTTTCAGCCATTCTTCTACATCAGACACGTTTCTCCGGCCATGATCGCCCATGTGGGGAGCCGGGATAGCTCAGTCGGTATAGCGACTGGCTACGGGCTGGACGACTGAGTGGTCGGAGTTCGAGTCCCGGTAGCGTCCAGACTGGCTCTGGGGTCCACCCGACCTCCTATATAATGGGTACCGGGGGGGCCCTTTCCCGGGGATAAAGCGGCCGGAGCGTGAAGCTGACCACTCACCTCCAACTAGTGCGGAGGTAAAGAAGATGTGGATCTATACATCCACTCTTCCATACGCCTTCATGGCGTACTGCTTAATTACAGGGACAGCTTTACCTTTATGCTGGCCCAATTTCTTCAGGCGAATTGTTCCTTCCAAATGTGTGGTAGGTTCATAACGACGTTCTTATGAATTGGTTGCAGCGGTGTTTATCAAACTGTGATCCCGGTGCCCTGGGGGTACCAGAGCTGATATGAAAACTCTGAAATTACGCAGTTTTAAATTACCATAACAACGAAGTGTCTGGTTTGAGAACATTTTATGACGTCGCGCATGGGTGTTCAGTTTTTTGTGTCATTGCATCATATCTATCATGTGAGTACTGATAATATATTGATGTGAATATGGGAAGTTTAGTATGCTATAAAACGACACGTTCAGATTCACTATTTTTACTTGATATACGTGGGAGATGGCGTTAAACGTCGGCCTCGTCGAATCATTCGATAAAAGGTATGACTGGAAAGGAATACGGGAGAAAGCAGGTGAGTAGAACTTGAGTAACAAATTATGCGTTTTCGTGTTGAATTTTTGAAAGGTGTTACAGTAGTAGTTTCAATTTTCATGCTCATATTTGGTAGCTTAGTTTTCTATTTTGCATAATTTAAGTTGTTTTAAAAAATACAATGTAAGGGACAGTTGCCTTGGCTTGTCGCCAGTGCCAATATGTAGGTATATATTTATTCGTCCAACAATTTTTCTTTCAGATAGCGACATAAGGGAACTATTGAGCAAAATTTGTGTTACGTCCAAAACATTTTTTTTACTCTAGATAAAGCTGGTAATGAATGCCAGTTAAGTGATATATAACTGTATGTATACATTTTAATCATATTCTGGTTCAAATAGAATATCCACTGGAAACAGTAGCGATAATACGTCATTACAGCCCGCCCACTGATGGCGCGTTGCTTCTGCCATCTGGTGGCAGTTTTTGGTATTGCTTCACTTATATTCCTTGTGCGGTAGAGATGTAAGATAGAGCTCCTGGCTAACTCGTCTGCAGCGACGCTGAAGTGTGTGTGTTGTGTCACGGAAGAATCAGTCGGCGGTTAGACAGTTCAACAGTGAAAAGTGTTAACTGGAAAGGACAAAATGGACAAAAAGGTGTACGTTCCTGATCCGTCCGTTTCACGAAAGTCGCACATCAGTTCCATGAAACAGTATGAGGATATGTACAAACATTCGATCGATAATCCCGAAGAATTCTGGGGTGAAATCGCGAAACAGTTTCACTGGGAAACTGAGCCGTCGAAGTTCCTCTCCTACAATTTTGATATCACTAAGGGACCAATCTCTATTAAATGGATGGAAGGAGCTACAACAAACATCTGTTATAATTTACTAGACCGCAACGTTAAAAATGGGCATGGGGATAAAATTGCCTTTTACTGGTAAGTTGAATTATTTATATATATATATTTATCAGGGTAGATTAATGGAAGGAGCGAACCTGTATTAATGTGTACGTTTGGGCGAACGGTGGAAGAGTATTTTTCGATATGGATGATGGCATTAATAATATTTTCTAGGGTTGGTGGGTGTACATTTCACGTAAGAGCACTTGCTTCAAATGTGTTACATCCTTTCGCTTTTGCTTCTGTTTACACAAATGTGAAAATGTCCTTGATCATTTTCATCTTGAACGTGAAATAAATTTCATATGACACGCTGCGCCTTTCAGTGGAAGGACATAAACGCAATACCTCAACTCCGCTAGCGGGTTCACCTTCTTATTGGGTGGGTGAGAGTTATTGTTTATACTGAGATTATTCGCCTTGTATTTTAGTCTACTTGTGTTTTGTTTAACGACGCTGGCAGAAACTGATATGATGATTAATATATAATGACTTCGAAGAAAGTTATCGTGGCCTGTTTATAAAATACGATCCCGGAATTTGCCTCGAATGACTGAGTAAAATAACGGCACACCTCAGTAAGGATTATTGGTGTCCCGGCCGAAATTCTAACCGAGAACCACCGAAGATAAAACTAGAGCATTTACTTGAGCCAACTTGTTCGGTGACGCCGTGTATTCTGGTAAATGTTTGCTAGACTCTACCGTGTATCTACCCGGCTATGTAGCTTCGTGTCACAGAGGACGGTACACTTAACAGTGACCGTCGTGAGAACCTGAGATATCACATAATTACATTTCATTACATGTTACATAAATTGTGTTTGTTAGCATAAATATTGGTCACATCATTACTAAATGTTATTTTTAGATTTCATTTTGTCAAATAAAGATGTATTTCACAAATCAATCCACACGTTTCAGATGCGGAGATTTGACCCCCGTGACGCCCACTCAAAATATGGCCGTGAAGGGGGCGTCATTGCCCTGAGATCGTGGGTGTCATATCCCTTGGATTACGTTTAGAATTACTGGTCCGTATCAGGGACTTCATCCCACCCAAAGGTGTCTCCACCTTGTCGTGGTGGTGGGGCTTGCGTGACTCTGTGACCTGGAGAGCTATGCCGGGGTAGTTTAACTACCGGTAGGGGCACCTATGCCGGAAAGGTCAAAGGGTAGATTCCAAACTAGGAGAGACAGGGCAGGTACTGGGTTCGAATCTCAGCCGAGGCACCGGTTACCCTGACGGAGGTGTTTCATGATTTTCCTCAGTCTCTTCACTCAAATTACGGGATAGTACCTTGAGTAGGTCACTACTGCCAAATGATTTCCATTTGAGCATTATCTACCATCTACTCTTGATAAGGGTGAAGAGAGGGGATTTCCGGCTCGTGACCCAGTGTTCGAACACAGTGCGCGCTCTAGACGTGTGTTGGACCTGGCCGACTGCTAGTATTGATTGCTTTGAGATCGTAACGGTTCAACTTTTAAGCTACTACTAACCCAAAAATAGCTCAAAATATTTATGTTGCAGTTTACATAAGTCTGTAGCACGGGTGTGAGATACGGTATCTGCATAAGAAATTTTAGTTTGGAAATCTGAAGGAAATAGACCACTTGGAAGATGAAACCGTGTATGGGAAGATAATATTAAAATATATTTTGAAGAAACATGATATGAGATTGTGGTCTTAGAATCATATGGCGCAAGATATTGTTCAATTGCTGGTTTTTGTGAACACGGCAATGAACGGTCCGATTACATAACAAGTTGGTGAATTCCTTGATCATCTAAGCAACTACTTCCAGGGATTCGAGGTTCTCACACCGGTGGTTATGAAGAGTTATGTTTTCTGGGATATGGCGCCGTGTAGTCCGTTGAGAATCAAATGACGTTTCGGAGGAGCGTGTCACCTACATCTTGAAGGTCGAAGAAATAACTGAAGCAATAGACCAGCATGAAAGCAGATGGCGAACAGGGCTGTGCTAACCTTGACGGTTGACTTTCAGTTGACTACATGGCGTTATATCGCAGAAGATAAGCGACAACTTTCTTTTCAAGGAGAACTGTTGGTTTATTTATTTATTTAAAGGTAAAATTTAAAGCTATCCCTGTAACAGACTGCCTCTGTGGTCTAGTGGTCAGAGTTCCTGGCTACAGGTCCAGAGGTCCGGGTTCGATTCCCGGCGCTACTAAATTTTCTGAGAAGTATTGGGTCTGGAACGGGGTCCACTCAGACTCGTGAGGATAATTGATGAGCAATTTCAATGAAATAGCGGCTCCGGTCTAAAAAACCGAAATAAACGGATGTGGGGATTCGTTGCGCTGACCACGCGACACCCTCTATCCGCTAAGTTGGCACTAACTTCGCCGAAAAGCGGCGGTCGCTGGGTCGGTATAGTTCGCTTGCGGATTGAAACCACGGAGTGTGAAGGCCCATAGGGTTGTGAGACGTCGAGGCTCCCACATTTTGTCTAGACAATCGGCTTACAGATGGCGGTAAGGTTTTCAGCCTTACACTCCGGCCGCCCTTTACCTTCGACGAAGATTCCTGGTACTCATTTCTGTTAGAGGCTGAGTCGACCCCAGGGCCATAGTGCGGCTGAGAAACTCCACCTCATCGGGATCTTTGGGCTTGTAGCTTAGTGCCTCAACCAACTACGATACCGCGTGATAGAAATCGTTACATGATCGAAATCGTACTGTGGCGCATTTGATCAAAACAAGAACTGTGGAGCCAGACAAACAGCCGTTGCTAGCGAACGGCTCTGAAAAAAACATTCATTTCTAGGGAAAGGCCGCGAAACAGACAACGGAACGACGTCCGATGCTAGGCAGCAGATTCTTAATAAGCAAGAATTGACGACTTATGCTAAGGAACGTCTCAATAAGTGTACAGTGCCTCAACTAACTACGCTACCGCTGATTTATTTATGTATTTGCTCGTATTTAACTTTACGCCGCCGTCAGCAGCTCAGAGAGCAGTGTCGAATGATCGTCAGTGAAGAATGGATGGGTAAGGGTATTGATGTAAGTAAGTAATGACGTGACTGCAAGTGTTTAATATTCTTTCCGAGCTGCGAGGCGCTACAATTCAGAAGACTTTATTGTTCGAAATACGTTTGGACATACTAACATACATATGTATGAAGATCGGGAGTGACGTCTTAACCCCCCACGAAGCCGAACTAATAGTTGCTCCGCTACTTAATAAATCCCCAGTAGTTCATGGAACTCAAAGGTTCAGTAACGTATTCACAAAAGCCCGTCACCGGGTCCCTATCCTGAGGTGAAAATCGGTTGAATTCCGAAACCCCGTGTAACGTTTCGTGTTATGATGAGGGTTTATTACTCCGCCGTTCATAACCAAAGCTGAAGGACCGCCCCTTGTCGCGTCGGCTGTCCCTGATTGCTTATCCAGTACATTCGTAGGTACCTACCATGTCTGGAAGTTTTCTCCATTCGCCATGCCGCTGTTACAAGGGACCCACCTAACAAGGAAATTGACGATACAGAAAAAGTTAAATTAATTTACTTAGTATTCTGAAGAATATGGCAATAGAAATATGGAACTCTGTGACCCTAAAGCAGGAATGAATATTGTAGATTGGTCAGTTATTGAAAATGTTAGGCCGGGTCATAGCTCAGGCGGTTAGTCGCTGGCTTCCCAGTCATGTGGGATTTGTGGTGGACAAAGTGACACTGGGGCAGGTTTTCTCCGAGTACTTCGGTTTCCCCTACCAATTGCTCCACATTCATCTATCATCCGGGGCTGGTACAGTAGGCCAGAAGTGGCCGCAGTACCAACTGGACTCAGTCTCACCCCAGTAAGATTAATAATAATAATGAGGGAGCATGGATAGTGTAGTAGGTATAGCGACTGATTACGGGCTGGACGACCGAGGGGTCGGAGTTCGAGTGGCAGTGGGGGTAAAAATTTTCTCTTCTTCAAGTCGTCCAGACTGGCTCTGGTGTTCACCTAACCTCCACGGGGGTAAAGAGGCAGGCGCGTGAAGCTGACCGCTCACCTCCAACTAGTGCTGAGGTCAAGAAAAATGTGGCTCTAAACATCTACTCCCCACATACGCCTTCATGGCGTAGTGCTTAATTAGTTTAGCACAGGGACAGCTTTACCTTACATTTATAATAATAATGTTGAAAGAGTCTCGTAGCCAATAGGCAATCGCCACGTCCTTTCAAACGACATACAAAAATAGCGGTAAAGAATTAGTCCTTCAGTTTTGAAAGCAAGTTTTAACCTTCAGAAATTAAATGACTTAGTCATGAGTCGCACATTTCGTTCGACTGTGACTGTTTCGCGCCCCATGACTAATGAAGCAGGTTGTTATACGTAATATAATTAATGGAGACGAGCCCTCAGTCGGTATAGCAACTGAGGGCTGAATACCGATATACCGAGGTTCGATTCCCGGCAAGGGATAAGAGGTTTTTCTGTTCTCCATAGCTTCCAGACTGGCTCTATCGCCCACCTAGTCCCCTGTTCAGTGGGCACAGGGGGTTGTTTTCCCGGGGGTTAAAGCGTTAGAGAACTGAATATGAACTAGTTCCACAATCTCACGTACAATATTAATATTCTATAAAACTTATTAAAAGCAATTCAATTTAGAAGTTTTATACTGCATGTTTCGACCAATGTGGCCATCATCAGGTGTTAAAAATTATGGAAACTGCTGTGTTCTGTATCGTTGCTTATGTTGTTAACATATTATCCCCTCAGTGTGCACGTGTGTCCAAGGTCGTGGGTTATGTTCCTACCTACTACGTTCTCTTGAGCTTCTTGTAATTAACACAAAAGGATGGAACACATCTCACAACTTCGAACACACATCCGCATTATACATGAACAACCTAAGCAACGAAACACAAGACAGCCAGGATAGCTCAGTCGGTATAGCAACGGGGTTCGAGTAGGACGACCGGGGTTCGATACCCAGAAGGGACAAGAAATTGACACTTATTCGTCCTTTTCTAGCCTCTTATTGGTTCATTCTGTTCTCTGACAGATTCGGTAGGAA